ATGAGAGAGAGAAAGACAGAGAGAAAGAAAGGGAGAGAGGGAGAAACAGGGAGAGAGAGAGAGAATACACCAAAAGGAGCCATTGACTGAAGAGATACAAAGTAATAACAAAAAATACTTTGCAAGACTAGAAGAGAAATTTGTGAGCAGACTATTTAACATCATAAATTCTCAGTCTGTAAAAGCTAATATTTTAGTAAATGTATTTCACTAGAATACATATAGTAAGTCTATTTTCAGATTAGAAACACTGATGTTGGTTAATAATATAATATTAAAACAAACAGTGATGTGGGCTAAAATGAAGTAACATTAGTGACACATTAGTGAGGCTTCAGAAAGAGAGTTAAGCAAGCAGAGAGTCTAAAGGGAAGCAACTGGCTGCACTGAGCATTTGGTTTTACAAATTCTTTCTTAAAATGTGAGAGATTTGATCATTAAACATCGTATACGTGTATCAAAATGTCACGCTGTACCCCATAAATATGTACAGTTCATTATGTGCCTATTAAAATAGTAATAAAAGCAAGAACACATTGATGCTAGCTGATATGTGACCACTCAACTTCTGACTTCTCACCCTCGAATGAGGGGCATGTGTCACATGATCTCTATCAAATGAGGGCTGCTGAGCTCTGAGGTGGGAGGGATCTTTGAGAATAGTAGAAATGTCATAAGAGTGGGCTCTAAGGGCCCGGTAGAGTCACCGTCCAAAGCAGAAACCGAATCAAGATACCCGACAAGGATACAGTTAATACCAAACACTGACTCAGCAGACAGCCAGGTTCTGAGGAGCTAACCACACAGGAGGTGCAGTCGGAGCAGGAATGGGGGTAACGTCAGGAGCGGCCCCTTCGGCAAGTCAGAAAGTCAAGATATCACCAAAGCCAGGAAGGCTCTACAAGGTCCTCAGCTGGAGTCTTTTTGAAGAGAAGGCCAACCAACTGCCTGTCCACAGTTAACCAGGCTGCAGATATGTGACCACATGCTCCTCTGACCTGAGCCAAGCGGGAGCGCACACCTGACAGCTGGCTCTGGCAGCCAGACACTGAGAGGCACCAAACTGGGAGTCACTCTCTGGGAAGAGCCCAGGATGTGCAGGTGGGAATGCAGGTGCTTTTCTCTGTATCACACCTGCCTGCTAAATGGCTCTCTGTCCCTTTCTTATCCTCTCTCTTCTACAAAGAGGAGATTTCTAGGGAACTGTTGGATAAATGTGTAATCTTTCTGGAGATGAGGGCCGAGTGAAGAGATAAATAGGGCTTGAAGAAGGAAGTTAAGAAAACTAAGGTAATCAGAAGGAATGAGTGAGAAAAGCAACCTCATGAATTCCTGGGTGGTATGGTAGGGAGGATGGGGAAAATCCATAATTAGGACATTCTGCAGATAGACAATAGAGAATTCAAGTCCAAGCATAGGAGCTTGCATTTCTAATCAGCTCATGCAACATCATGTTTGCAGTGTTCACCATTTCTAATATTCAAGCACCCTCTTTTAGAGTCACAAATGCTATAATTCATCAAATCCAGGCATGCAAAATCATCCTTTTTCTAACACTAAACATGTTTAATCACAACGATTTATAATAGCACGTTAAGACTTTAATGAAAGGAAGGCATTGGATACATGATATTTACAGTAATCATAATACTACAATATTTAAAGTATAATTTTTGACAGTGTTAAAGCAGGAAGCCAAATTGTCCATATTTTTTAGTTGATTATTTAAAATGCTTTTGCGGGGACTCAGCATCCAGAAATTAATGAACAGTTTTCCTCTGCGCAATCGTCGGTGTTATCACCGGTTACTGCTACTGGCTGCCAACCCTTTTATATCGTAGCTCTAGTAACAATCAGCAATTAATGCTAACCACTTGTCCTAATAGCCAAATGCCAAATGTCATACCACATGCAGGATCATAATTATGCTTTAGGAAGTGGACGGGTTTGGCTTTGTCAGCCAAGAATTAACTGCAAATTTGGAGGTGCACTTGAACTAGTGCTTGCAGAACATATCTGTGATACCTCAGCCTCGGAGTTCCAAGTCTGTTTTTCAAGGATAGCAGTTTCTTTCTTTTTTTTTCTTTATTTTCTTTTTTCTTTTCTTTCTTTTTTTTTTTTTTTTGAGATAGACTCTAGCTCTGTCACCCAGGCTGGAGTGCAGTGACGTGATCTTAGCTCACTGCGACCTCTGCCTCCGGAATTGAAGCTATTCTCCTGCCTCAGCCTCCTGAGTAGCTAGGATTACAGGTGCACGCCACCATGCCTGGCTAATTTTTGTATTTTTAGTAGAGACAGGGTTTCACCATGTTGGTCAGGCTGATCTCAAATTCCTGACCTCATGATCCACCCGCCTCGGCCTCCCAAAGTGCTGGGATTACAGACGTGAGCCACCACACCCAGCCAATGATAGTAGTTTCATACAAAGCTAAGGGCCTTGAAATCCTTCTCCCAAGGGACCTAAATGTTTCTTTGTGAAGCTCTAAAGGTTCCCTTTGCTGTCTCTTTTGGGATCAGTCAAATTTACACACATTCCAGCTTCACTTAGCAATTCAAATTCCTGTGTAGGTGTTCGCTGTTAACCACATGTCACATGCTTCACAGCCCTTGGTGACATGTGTTTATTTCGGAAGGTAAGTCCATAAACCAGTGCCTTCCTCGTATTTTACAAGTTTTCCCTGACTCAGGGAAACAGAAGGGGGTCCTCCATCAACAGGCAGCAATGTGGTACATGGGGTAAGGTAAGGAAGGAATGTTACCTGGATTACTGCCCACAGCCCCCTCAATAATGAAACAGTGTCAAGGCAGAGCAGCATCTCACACTGTTAAGAGTTCAGATTTTGCCTGGCTCAGTAGCTCACACCTGTAATCCCAACATTTTGGAAGGCCGAGGTGAGAGCATTACTTGAGCCTAGGCGTTTGAGATTACAGTGAGCTATGATCAGGCCACTGCACTCCAGCCTGGGCAACAGAGTGAGACCCTGTCTCTAAAAATAAAAATTAACAACAGCAAAAAAAAAAGAATTTAGATTTCTACTGACTTCAAATTTCAACAAAATCATGAACACTAAATTAGTGGAACATTACAAACCTTCACATCAAAACCAAAACCCATTTTTCTACCCGGAAGTTGTAGAAAGCTTGGACTCACCCAGGGGCCCAACTCTAGCAAGTGCCCGGGACACCCTGCATGCATTCTGTGTTCTCATGTCACCCTGGCTTCATTTGTTCCTCTCCTTGGTTCCCTTTGTTCTGATTTATTTTCTTAGTATCACTATTATAATTAATGATAATTATGCATTCTAATTTAGTTTTGTGCATTTTCTAAACACTTAAATCTTCTTTAAATATGATAGGATATCATTATGTTTCAACTATAAGAGTTGCCCTAATTCCTTTACTAAAAGCTTTACTCTTTTCTTCACTTTTTAAAATTTTCTTACTTTTTTCATACAATTTTAATAAACTCAGTCATCCAATTTCACAGCACACAGCAACTCAGAAGACCACAGCTGACAGAAAGAGTGGTAGCTGACATAGTACAGTATAGTAATCCTACTTAATAGATGCTGAATGCAACAACAAATAGATAAATGAGTAAATTAATAGGTGAGTAATATCTTAGAGCTCACCAAGGAGAAGGTAGAAATCATTTAAAAACAAATATAGGAAGCAACAGCATAACAGTGAGGGCCCATTTGGTATGGGTGTGACCTCTCTGGGGATTTCAAAAGCCTTTGATGATTGTAGAACTATAGTTTATTTTATTTATTATTATTATTACTTTTTTTGAGACAGGGTCTCAATTTGTCACCCAGGCTGGAGTGCAGTGGCACTATCTCTGCTCACTGCAGCCTCAACCTCCTGGGCTTAAGCAATCTTCCTGCCTCAGCCTCCAAGTAGCTGGGACCACAGAAGTGCCACCACTCCCACTAACTTTTGTATTTTTAGTAGAGACAGGATTTCACCATATTGGCCAGACTGGCCTCGAACTCCTGAGCCCAAGTGATCTGCCTGCCTGAACCTCCCACAGTGCTGGGATTATAAGCATAAGCTACCGTGCCTGACAGAACTATAGTTAATACTGATGAGTCTAACTCCATTCCTTCAAGAAAAACTCAAAGTATTTGGGAAAAATCTTTGTTTAAGAAGACAGGTAAATGTATCATACACCTTAGAAAACTTTTCATTTGAAAACAACAAAATAAAAAACATAAAACTCCAGGGCAAGGAAATTTTCAGCTGTCTGGAAAATTCCCTTCTTTGCCATGCCTCATTCTCTGGCCGTGCCTGATACCTGGAGTGATGATGAACTCATATTGCTAGTTCTCAGGTGGGAGCGACACCTCAGGAGAAGTACTGTGCGTAGAGAATGGTTTCTGCACTAGCTTCTTACTCACTTGATGGTGATGCGGTGGGAGCAGTTCCAACCAAACCCAGCACGGTACTAGCATCCTGAAAGGGAACTCATTACCAGGAGGAAGGAAAAGTTCTGTGCAAGCATCCAATAATTCATTCTCTTTCTCCACCAAGCGATTACGCCTTAAGACCCCTAAACTGAATGACTTACAGAACGACCTGATTCCCCTCATTGCCCATGTGCACCAAACCTTGGTTTCTGCAACGTTACCAAAAGAGAAGTTCCTGGGTGTGTGCTCAGAATGTTTTAGACAAATGATGTTTCACGAATGGAAGATATAGAAATGTTACTATTATTTGAGATTGACTCATCTGGAGATATAATCACAGCTCTAGACCATGGCAACTACAGACCCTGGGTTGCCCCAGTGGCGACTCTGTCCAGTCCATTTCCCACTTGAGCACAGGAAGCAGCACAAAGTAGAGGCTACAGTTTCAGGAGAAAAGCAGGTTTGTTATCACAAACCTGTTTTCCCCCGCCAGTCAAATAGAGGCAATCATAGCTAGCAGGCTCAAACCCACAGTTTTCTCAATTACCGTGAGCAAACATAGGTTGACTTATTTTTTTTTTCTGTTTACAGAACTACGCAAAACTTATTCCTGGAGCTACAGTAGGGGTACTTCAGAAGGACTCCGGAAATATTCTCCAGCTGATCATCTCAGCTTATGAAGTAGGATATTTTACAGCTGGCTTCTTTTTTGCATGTCTTTGGTATTCAAAAACTAAGATGTTATTTAAGCTGTTTAATGTTAGTTACTTGTTGGTAGAGAGAGTGCTTATCCAAAAAAAGTCTCTGCATGAATGCAGCCAAAATACAAATTTTGTTCATTTTGTTTGCTGATCTTCTTTTTGAAAAGTGTAGCTGAAGATAGAAAAACCATAAAACTGATCATAAAGTTGAGGTTGTTTTTATAATAATAGGCAACAGCAACATTGTTGCCAGCACAATTTTAAAGCCTCCACAACTCATAGAATTAAGCTCTCCTCTGTCTGAAAAAAGTGAAGTTTAAATTGCCAGTGAGTGATGGAATTATGTGGAGAGCTAACTCTACAGGCTTGACAAGACTAGGTCATAACTCAAGCAAAAATACAACTGTTGGCCATGCACCAAAGCACCAGTACCCAGAGAATGCCACTTTTTAGTTTCTATACCTTTGGGAACTAGGGACATTTTCCACTGGTTTGTGAATAGGTGTGTAACTTTTTGCTTTGACTTTGGGAATTAGTACCTGAGGATAGAATGCCTCCCTTAAAATTAGAATATGTACGTACAATGTTGCTATGTTCTCATTCTTTGCCCCCATTTCATAACTCAGTTAAGTCAACAATGGATGGCCGGTTGTCAATTATTTTTAATTTTGATTCCTAAATATCACCCCCCCTTTTTTTTGCCTTTACATACAAAGAAATACACACACACAGACACACACACACACACACACACACACACACACACACCACACACACAAAGAGGGAGAGAGAGAGAGAGAGAGATAAAGCCCTAAATTAGGATAGGAATGAAAAAAAGTAAATTTTTTAGAAAGGAGTAAAGCTTTAATATTTACTTTAAACAGCAGCTATGTAAGAACAAATTAATAACAATTCTCCTGATTTTTGATGTTTTAAAATTACAAACAAATGGTCCATATGTAGTATATGCCAACACATAATATGTACTGAACCAGCATTCTTTAACTAAAATGACATATCAGAATCAACAGGGAAAGTTTTGAAAAATAGGCTTATCCAGATTCCTCTGACAGACACCTTTGAAGGACTTTAGAAGAAATGAGAGGTACATATTTTGGAAAGAAAAACAAAAACTCCCCAATGATTTTGACATTGCCCCATCAATTTTTGAAACTCCTCTGAAGGCGGAAAAGCAAGATATTCCTTCTCAAATACTTTATTTCTTTAGAAAATAAAATACAGATGTGTTCATTAAAATTACAGGATGATGGTTTTGTTTAGTTTTGTTTGTTTTACTGATGATAGCCTCAGAAATTTCAGTTTTCTTAGATCACATCAAATTAATCACCACATTAGCTCATGCTTGAAATTGTTCCAGACAGAGAATGCTCATCAACAAAATGCTATAAAAACCTTCCTCCCTCTCATGCGGTAATTAAAGTTTTAATGTGTAGAATCAAATAAAATCACACAGCAATCCTTCACTGTACTAGAACACACTCTATTTTTTCGAACCCAGTACTCTCAACAGTGTTGGCCACTAACGTCTTCAAAGAAATTAGGCAGATTGGAAAACACTAAATTGTCAAAACTATTTGCCCTCCAGTGAGAGCAGCCCCCACGCCTCTGCTTGCTCTGCCAGGGGTTATGGCTCACTTTATGGTCCCAAATACTTCACATAACTTAGAGGATAGTTGAAATCAAGGCATGAAACATTTGAATTAAATCTTATGCCCTTGTTTTGCTATCTCGGAAATACTAAGAAGAAGTATCTGTTATTCTCAAATGAGACCATCTTGCACTGGAGTTATTATTGGAACTATACAATTCACAGGGCAAAGTCTGTACTAGATCCTGGCACTAGTTCAAATTATTTTTCTACTGTTATTTTTAAATGTATGCTAAAAGGAATTTAAAATATGGGTACCCATAGACAGAATTTCTTCCTAGTCTATAAAAAGAGAGAGAAGGAAAGAGAACATATTGAGAGAAAGCATAAAATGCTTCTGACTGACCTCTAGTAGGGCAGAGGTAGACACTTTGTGTTTATAACTTTGTGGCTACAAACTTCAGTTCAGTATTTTACAGTACCATATTGATATTTTAAAAAACGTTAAATATCCAATATGTATTTATCCGATCATCATTCACTAGTTTTCTTTCTTCCCTAATCGTATAATAAAAGGTACCGAATTATCAGCAATCCCAAGGATAAGTTCCTCTGCCGGCATTTGCATTCCAGGAAGGAATTGACTTGGTTTCTTTTGCTTTTCCTGGTTCATAAGAGATGCTTGATAAATGAATGAATGAAACGATGAAAAATGCAAATAATCATTTATGTCATTTCCTTAGGAAATTCACACTAAAATATTCCTGGCCAAATTTGCAATGTGCTGTTGAATTATAGCAATGCTGAAATTTCCTTTATTTAGGTCAGATCATGTCATCTACTGGACCTCATTATTGCTGTCACAGTCTTCCTGGTCATATCCCTCATTCTTTATTCAGCTCCTGACTCTAGCTCCAACATTGTTTCTATTTTAATCTTACCGTTTCAGTGTAAACAGATTGTGAAGGAAGGCAGAGTCATTTTACTATAAATTTGGCAAACTTGCACATAGGTATCAAAGATCTCATATAGCCCATAAATATATACACCTACTATGTACTCACAAAATTTAAAATAAAACAAAATTTTTTAAATTACAGTTAAGGAAAAATTGAAGCTGAATATGCTTTTAAAATGCCAACAAGCAAATGGGTATGTGGACTTAAAACTTTTGGATTAACTGAAGTATAAATTAATTCATATTTTTAAATTGTTTTTATTCTGTTTTTCTATTTTTCATAATTTGGTTTGGTTCACCCAAAATATGGACTTTTATTTTGTAAGTGAACAAGGAATAGAGAAAGTAAGTTGATAAACTTCTTGAGGGCAGAAAGTGGTCCTGTGTTGTTCCCCAGACCTAACTCCAGACTAAATGTACAATAGGCACCACATACATTCCAATATTGATTTTAAGGCACACTTTCCCCCCACATTTCAACATCTCTAAAATTGAGCTGCACCTTACAATTGATGGTGAATTACAATCACCATTATGGTGCCAGGCAGCAGTCATGATGTAGTTTTCATGGACAGTTGTGGTTATACTCACTTTAATTTATTAAATGCATTGTTGCTACTTAAGTATTACGTTTAATTGCTGTTTTAAAATATCTTCAAAAAATGTGTACTGTGATTCGATATTGAAATGAAAAGTTCATTATGTATGCAGAAATGTACCAAAACAGAACAGCAGGGTGTAAATTTGATATCAATGCAGCAAATATTCATGGTGGAGGAATGACTTCAATTCCGGATTCTTTGCGAAGCAACAAACAGCTGGTTTATGGGAACTAAGAAATCATGACACACCTAAAGGAAGCTGTTGTTAAATTTTGTTACTGAGATAAAAGCAAAAGAATTGCCTTTATATGCCAATCGATGCAATGCAGGGCAGGAGAATTTGCCAAATCTTTCAGAATGGGTAAAATAATTTTCAAAGCAATGATAGATGGACAGGACTGACTCATATGTTGTGCAGAACATCTTGAGGTATTTTGTCATAGTTTAATTGTCATAAGATAACGGCGTATCTTATAATGGTTGATGCCTTAGATTTGGTAACATATAAAATGTATGTATTGATTGCTCACTTTCTTGCTTTTGACTGATGATATACTGAATTTCTTTTGATGCCCAATTTAGTTTCATTCATCTGTAGTTCAATGAGCATGATTCACAGTTTCTTCTTCGGGCTATATTTTTGGGGTTGTGACTTCACTGAACTCTTTATATTGTAACTAAAGGAACTGCGGTCTGAGGTGGAACTGGAAGTATTAGGAGACACTGAAGGACTCAACTTGTCATTTACAGCCATCTGTAACAACGGTACTCTCTTCCCACACCAAAAGAAATGCTCTCACATGAAAGTGGGGGACACAGTAAGTAGCTGGTCAATAAACCATCTGGATAAATACTTGGAAGGGTCAGAAGTTAGCTGAGCTCACTGAAGCTGGATTTCTTTCAAGAATTTTAAAAGCAATTTTCAAAGATTTTTCTAGTAAATGCTTTTGGCAGAGCTGATTTCCGTGCAGCCTTGTTTCGCCTCATGCATTTTGGTGGATGCAGGGAGATAATTAGTATTTTCTTTTTCAGGCTTCCTTCAACGTGACTGTGAATATCCCAAACTGTGAGAGAAGAAGCAGGCACATTATTATAAAGCCTGTGGGGCTGGGGGATGCCCTGGAAATACTTATCAGTCCAGAATGCAATTGCGACTGTCAGAAAGAAGTGGAAGTGAACAGCTCCAAATGTCACCATGGGAACGGCTCCTTCCAGTGCGGGGTGTGTGCCTGCCACCCCGGCCACATGGGGCCTCACTGTGAGTGTGGCGAGGACATGCTGAGCACGGATTCCTGCAAAGAGGCCCCAGATCATCCCTCCTGCAGCGGAAGGGGTGACTGCTACTGTGGGCAGTGCATCTGTCACTTGTCTCCCTATGGAAACATCTATGGGCCTTATTGTCAGTGTGACAATTTCTCCTGCGTGAGACACAAGGGGCTGCTCTGCGGAGGTAGGCTATGTCCAAATCCATCTTACCCTGTGGCTGTTCAAGTCTCAGGAAGGGGCTTGGCATCCCCTACCCCTTCCACAGTTTCCAGGGCATAGTAGGTGCTCAATGAATATTTGCTGTTCAGCCTTAGACCTAGGGTAACTGAATCTTCTCTTGTAGGTTTTCTGGCTCTACATTCACTTGGGGTGAGATCTCTGCCAACTGAACTTGTATCTCTATTATTGTTTCCCTGAGAGTAAGTGAAAGATAAAAGTGCCTTCTCTCTGGTTGTCACCCGAACTCTACAAAAGTGCCTGTAATATGAATTCTGTTACCTTCCAGGTTTTTCTGGATCAAGCTGCTATGTCTGACTGACCTTTTAAATGTATATGACTTTGGAAACGTAAAAACTAGATGGACTGCTAAATGAGCATGCTACCAAGGATAAGGAGCACAAAAATATACTAAACAGGCTTTCAGGGCCTTCACTCATTCCACAAATATTTATTAAACACCTACTAAGTGCAGATACTAGGTTAGGCACTGGGCATAAGAAAGATGAGTAAATGCATATGTGAAAAAGCCTACAGGAAGGACAAAGATAGAAAATTACTTAGAATATCCTGAGAAATTTGAGAAAAATTTAAAATAGAAATATGCATGTTTTAATATCGTATGTAGATGTGAAATCACTGTAGTTTAAGGATATAATGTATATGACTTGTAAAATCTTTCTGATATATATACATATATAAGTGTAACCTATTCAGAAAAGAATTACCAATATGTTAATATACTTTTAAACAATACAAATTTGTGTTATAGATTGAAATATTAACTGAATGCTGAATTTAAGCTTTAATGTCTCTGTTCACACTATGTAAGCAGACAGCTATTCAAATCAGAAAGCCATTATCTTTATAGAAAACCAAGCAAGTTATGGTTTTAAAAGACAATGTCAGGAACATATGAAAAACACTAATTTTCAGGGGAAAAAAAGACCTGAGAGAAAGAAGCATCAAAGAATTCCAGGCTTTCTGAAAACCATTTGATACCCTTAGAAGTGTACCTACCTTTCATTTCGTTGCTGCTGCTGTTGCAACCAATGGGTTCTTCTGAGAGTATATGCCTTTTTCCCCCCAGAGAGTGAAAAATTTATGGTCTGTGCTGATTAAGACACATTTTTCTTCCTTTTCATTCAAAGGTTTATTTCCTGGTTTAATAGGTGTGTTTCCAAACCCACATAAGTCCTCTTTTCACATGACACAGATGGGTCACAATCTGAAGGCAACAAGAAGCCATCCAAAAGCCATCATCACATCACAGATAGAATATCTCGGGTAGAATCCCATATTGCATGTCTAATAGAAATCTCGTAATAAAATACGTGTTCAAACCACTTGAAATTACCTTTCAAAAAGCCCTAAGTGTAATCTAACATAATATAATATACTAACACGACCTATATTTCACCCTTTAAATCTTGGATCAAAGAGATCTAAGGGGGTGTAAATTGCTGAACTGTGTTTAGCAACAGAGCTTTCCTTGGTGGTCTTTTACTTTATTTTGTACCATGCATGAGGAACAAAAATAAACTCAAAAAAAAATTGACTTGATCTGTAGATTGTAGCTAGGAAGGTCTGACAACAGTGTCTCTCTTTGAATCAGATACAGTGATTGCTACAGAAATTCTATTTAGAAAATAGAATGATTTATTTAGCTAGATTCAGAAAACTTCACCTATGCCAATTTCCTCTAACCATTACTGTTTCTCAAAAGCTATTTTGGTTTTTAGTGACATCACAAAGGATGTTGCTCTATAATTAGTAACTTTTCTTTCAAATGGTATAATAAAAGTAAATGCAACTGTAACAAATGGTTATGGAGTACCTAGTATGTACCTGGCATTGTGCTTAGTGCAGGGACAAAAATTGTGCCTGGCATTGGAATAGAGACTCTACTGCTGCTGCTGTTTTATTTGCAATAGAGGATCAAACATGCTATAGCTCACAACTTGTGTGGATCTCACTTAGTTTATAACTAATATACTCAGCAATGTGCGACTTCTCTGAAGAGCTAATATCACAATGTTCTTTTTCATATAGCTTCTTTCGTCTGTCTGTAAGCACTCAAAGATATAGGGCTCCATTGATTTTTTTCCTTGCCCAAATTCCATTACTCTCCTATACTTTGATTCTAAGAGATGGAAACTAACAGCCAAATGGCACTAAAGAAACACTTCCTGCTATTATGCACTTACAGTTACTGTCAATAGTATTCCAGAAAAATCTATTCCTCTGAAGTAGCGTGGTAATTTTTTCTTGATCTTTGGTTATCATCTTGTCCCTCCACGAAGCCAATATGAAGTTTTGTTGTTGTTGTTGTTGTTGTTGTATGAACCAGTACTCTAGATAATTGGTTGTTTGAGGATATCAATTAGCAACTTTGGAAACAAGGTGAGGGGATCTGAAAGGCCAGCAAAGAGGAGGATTTCTAAATTCTGAAAGAAGCTCTGTGTTTTTGCCATAATGGTCCTTTTCTACTGCTCCAGGAAAGATTTCATAAATTTCCATCAAGTACTTCCTACATGCAATGATATACTTGGGCATTCTCAAAGCATTTGGAAATGCATCTTTCATTTGATATTTGCAAATCACATTAATCTTTCAGAATCAACTGCAGTATGGAATTTCTTTCTGTCATAAAAGTAAGTTTCCCCTTTTACTGAAGAAGAAACAAAAAGACATTGTAGTTTAGAAGATCACTTACATGTAAAAATGAAATTAATGGCTTTGGGCCAAATCATTTAATTATTCTTAGCTTTGAATTAATTATGTCAATTATAAATTGCATAGGTTACGAAATGCAGTTGAAATATACCTTAATATCATGAATCCAGACAAATTTCAACTCATCATTCATTAGACAAGTAATGGACACGAACACACACTTTAAGATGGTGTGAAAGTGATATGAATTTAGTATGGTGCTCAACTTATAGTGATGTTATATCTAGACAAACCCATTATTTTACATTTTACAATGAGTTTATCCAGACATAACCCTGTCATAAGTCCAGAAGCATCTATACATATGTATGTGTGTATATGTACATACACAGAGTATATAGAGAATATGTATAGAGAGAAAGAATACGTATGTATATACATACAGTCATGTGCCACATAATGACGTTTTTGTCAGCAACACAGCACATATACAATGGTGGTCCCATAAGATTGTAATACTGTATTTTTACCGTACCTTTTCTATGTCTAGATACACAAATGCTCACCATGGCATTACAACTGCCTCTAGTATTCAGTATAGTAACATATTGTATAGGTTCATAGCCTAAGAGCACTATACCACATAACCTAGATGTGCAGTAGGTTTGCCACCTAAGTTTGTGTAAATATATTCTATGATGTTCACACAATGATGAAATCACCTAACAATGCATTTCTTGATACATATTCCCATTGTTAAAGGACATATGACTCTGTCTGTGTATGTGTGTATATACACACATATACGTATATATACACACATACATATATATACATATATGTACACACATGCCTAGAGAAATCAGAATCCAACTTCAAAATCTTTGTGCCTCTCATCTTCTTTGTTTGGTGATTTTTGACCAAAGAATTAAGCCCAGGACTCTCCTCCTCTGGGTTTCTTAGAGCCGAGTCATCAAGATAGAAAAGTAAGCAGTTTACTAGATCAAAGCTTACAAGAGAAAGTGCAGGGTTCTTCCTCCTACAGTGAGGTTGGCAGTGTCTCCTACAAGTAGAATCCTGTTTCACTTGTGATTATTTTTTCTACATCTACTTTGTTTTCAGTAAAAGTATAGGAAATTTAATACTGATAGATAATTTTGTTTACAAATTCTTCCTACTGATAGCTTTTAGGAATAATGCCAGTAAGTAACACTTATATAGTGCTTATTTATGTTCTAAACACTCTTATATACTGTCTTAGGTAATCCTAAATTTTGCTGGAAGAACAAAACTTGTGAGGCAAAATGCCTAATGCACATTTCTTTTCTTTTTCTTTTTCTTTCTTTCTTTTTTTTTTTTTTGAAGAAAAGTATCAGTTACAAGAGTTTTTAAATAAATGTTATTTGTTTGGAACATCCAATGCCTGTGTTAGTATCTTGTGCATGGCAGGCACCCAGAATAATATTACGAAATAACACACAAGCCCATTATTTTCAACATTTTTTAAAACATTTTGGAGCATTTCATTCATCATCACGTGGCCATATCCAAAGGGGCTCTTCAGGATTAGATGGGCTTCTTGTCTACAGCAAAAGTGTCCAGGTGCCTCCCTCTTTAACTGTCTCTGTCCCAGGCATCTGCAGCATCACTTCTGTTCCCCTCCTACCTCTCAGTCTCTTCTGTAAGGATCCTTTGATCACATTTTAAGTCCTGAAGCTCTCCAGAGTTTTTCTCACTCTACCTGCTTGCCCTAGATGACCTGGCCCATGACAGCTTCAACTATCAACTTTCTCTAATGGATCCCAAACCCCAAACTTCAGGCCCATATATATGTTCAACCATCTCCTAGGATGTCCCACAGGCCCCTTTGAGCTCCTCAGGGCCAAAAGTGAACTCGTCATCTTCCCCACCCAAAGCTTCTCCTCCTCGGCTTGAGAACCAATTATTCAACAATCAGGTTCTACTCTGTGCTAGACATTGGTGACACCAGGAGCTAGCTTGGCTACGCCAGTTCAGTGAAAAGCCACATCATCCATCTAGCTGCTCACTCTAGTCACCTGGGGAGAATTCTCCCTGTGTCTCTTCCCTCAGCCCTCCACTTGGCACCAATCACACCCACACCCTGAGCATTCCATGCTGCAATATATATTATTTCCTCTCTGCTCCCATGAGCACTGCCTTAGTTCATGGTCTCATATCTGTTTGCCTCTACTCCTGCTTTTTCTCTCTCTAGTTTGACCCTGTCTACTGACCCTAAAAACTGTCTAGACAAAGTTTTCAGGATAGAAGATCTTCCTTTAGCCAGTAAGGTTTTCCATGGTCTGATTTCTGACTTTTGTTGACCTTTCCATCCTCCCCTCCTGCTACACTCTATATGCACATTTGGCTCTATCCATAGGAAAGTTCTATGGGTAGTAAGCAGGTCACATGATTCCACATGCATTCCTGAAATGGAACATATATCTCTCAAATTTAGCTCAAGCATCACTTCCTCTGGAAATCCTCAAATCTCCAATTTAATTTGGAAACTATTCCCCTATGCATATTTTTTATTAATAGTATTCATTAGCTTGCCTCCTACACTAAATTATAAGTTCGATGACCTTGTCTTATTTAATTTTACACCCTCATACCTAATACAATCTTTGGCACATAGTACATGCTTAATTAAAGTGTGTTTAGTAGTGAATTTTTTGAGTACTCATTGTATGCCTTTGGGACATCTAACTGGTGAATGCAAAATTAGGAGATATATGCATTATCTCATCCAGTCACAAGCATTGGAAGCAGACTTTATTCCCTCTGTTTTACAGTTTAGGCTCTCGTGATCACACAGCTTGAGTGATATACGGGGGTGGGCTTTAATCCAGGTCTGTCTTGTGTCATTACCCAATGGCATCTTAACTAAAAGCAAAAACTGAAAATAAATAAATAAATATGCATAGAGATACAAATTCACATCAAGTATCTATTACGCGCTTTTTGCATTATCTCTTTTGGTCTGATTACAAATTCTATTTGATATAATATATGGATGAAAAGAGCCAAACTCTGCAAAATATTTGATGAAATTTATTCTGAGCCAAATACGAGTGACGGCTCATGACACAGCCCCAGGATATCCTGAGAACCTGTGCCTAAGGCACTCAGGGGACAGCTTGATTTTATGCACTTTAGGGAGACATAAGACATCAATCGATACATGTAAGATGTACATTGGTTTGGTTCAGAAAGGTGGGACAACTCAAAGGGGAGGGACAGGGCTTTCAGATCATAGTGATTGGTGATTGGTTGAAAGAGTTTATGTAAAGATCTGGAATCAGTAGAAGGTGGTACCTGGCTTATGATAAGGGGTTATGGAGACCAAGTTCTTATTATGCAGATGAAGCCTCCAGGTAGCAGGCTTCAGAGAGAACAGATTGCAAGTGTTTCCTAAACTTAAAAAAAGTTCCAGATTCTTACTTAATTCTCTCTTGGATCAGGAAGAAGATTTGGAAAGAAAAGGGGATCCTCTGCAGAATGTAGATGTTCCCCACAAAAAACACCTTGGTCGGGCCATTTAAAAATATGTCAAATAAATATATTTTGGGGTAAAATACTTCGATTACTTTCAGGACCTGCTATCTATCATGTTGGTATCTTATTGCTACAAAGAGTCTGCTTTGTCAGTCTTAAGGTTTCTGTTTTTTTGTTAATGCTGGTCAGCTATGCCTGAATTCCAAAGGGAGGAGGGTATAATAAGGTATGTCAGACCACCCACTCTCACCACAGCCTGCACTAGTGGTTCAGGTTTACTTTAGAATGCCCTTGGCTAAGAGGAGGGGTCCGTTCAGTTGGCTGAGACGCTTACACTTTTGTTTTTGGTTTGCAAACATCAAGTAAGCAAGTGGATCTTCAGTGAGGAGACCAGATCTAAGTATGCACAATTAGCAAGACACATTTGATAGCATGTATCTACACTCATACCGTACCCCCACAAGAATGTACACTGTTTTCGTATTTTTTTCTTGTCTTTTGATGATGGTGCTTAAAGACAAAGAGAAAAGATGCCCCCCTACCCCGCACTCCCTCAAATCTGCAAGTGTTTTTGGGCTGTGAGAAGCATAGAGCGCTTTGTTTTACAGATAACGGCGACTGTGACTGTGGTGAATGTGTGTGCAGGAGCGGCTGGACTGGCGAGCACTGCAACTGCACCACCAGCACGGACTCCTGCGTCTCTGAAGACGGAGTGCTCTGCAGCGGGCGAGGGGACTGCGTTTGTGGCAAGTGTGTTTGCACAAACCCCGGAGCCTCAGGACCAACCTGCGAACGATGTCCTACCTGTGGTGACCCCTGTAACTCAAAACGGTAATGTCTGCTTTCCTCTGTTTGGATAGGTTTATGGTGATCAAACTTACAATGGCCTTTTTGTAAACTCAGACCTCAGACTGTATTTGCTGGGTTTGGTCTCCAAACATCCATCAAAACACACAAACCCACAGGGCTTCTGTGATCCTCAGCCTGGAACATCAATCTCTGGCTTACCTCTTTCTCAGTCCTGATTAGGCAGAATCACAATGTCACATTTCTGCTAGAGACTAGCATGGGGAAGTCAAGCTGATGTCCCACACTGATAACATCAGATCACCTCTCCATTACAATATCAGCCACACATAAGGAATGCCCTGGAGGTAGACGGAGGACACCCACAGGCAGTCAGTACCTTTTCAGAGGAAACAGACAAGCTTCTTTCTTATCTAGAAGTTTATAGCCTGACCTTACTGATTCATTCCTAACTATAGACTCACAGAGGCAAAAAGGCAGAAAGACAATCTTAGCTTTCAATTCTCTCCTGCTTCTTTACCACCCATGCTCTTTGGCGCCTTTCTTTGGTTGCCATTATGCACAGCTATTGTGTATTTTCTTTTATATCATATGTACAATAACAACAATAAAACCTCACAATTTCTTAACGAAATTGGGGCAACATTTGTAGATCAAGTGAAGCCGGCCTCCAAAATGGCTGTTACGATATTGCAGTGGATAATGTATTATGCAGCAAATATGCATAAGCATTTCAGATTTTCATTAACTCTGATACCCAGAGGACATTTGCATTTCTGACATGAACAGGATCAGAAAAGCAATTTTTCACTTAGTGGTTACTCATCATTCAGGTGTCAAAACTTCTCTTCCACTGTCACTGGCAAACTAAGACAAGGCACATGTCAGGAGAAGCACAAGGACATGATTAGGATGATTTGAATAGTATCTAATGTAAAATGTCCCTTCAAGATGTGCCTTCTATTACTTTTCTGTTTTATCCTCTCTATAAATATGACTCAATCTTAAATCTGAATTACAAGATACAAAATTAACCATCAAAGCAGTTTGAATTTGGAAATCAGGTAGAATGACCTCCTTGGTATTTATGTTAGTTTTGAGATGAGTCCATTTTTCCATTTATTCACACATGAGTTCATTTATCAAGTAGGTATTAAGTACCTACTGTATGCTAAGAATCATGTTAGGCCATGAGCAATGCAATGATGACTGAAACAGCTCCAGTCCCTGCCTTCACAGGTGCGGGGAGTTTAGTGGGAAAGATAGACATCTTTTAAAGTGATTGTAATGCTATCTAGGCCAACAGTTTTAATACGGGATATAGAGAACGCTATGGAACTCTACAGCAGGGGATAAGGCTACCAGACTAGCTAGTGCAGCCATCAGTGAGATGCACAAAGGCGAAGAGATTTTAAGAGCTTCCACATCAACAGACCCCTTCAAAGTCACTCCAAATAAATATACAAACTAGATAAATGCAATGTATTTGCAATGCCAAGGCAAAACCTCACAGTAAAACCTTTCCCACTGCCTGATAGTTTGCCCCTCCTGTGGAAAAATCCTGAGGCTTCCACTGCAAGGGAACTGATTGGTCTAATGCTTAGTGAAGGTTTGCCTAAGGGAGTGCAGTTTCAGCTGAGATTTGCTGAGTTGTGGGTGGGGGTGGGATGTGTTTCAAACTCTTAGTAGAGCATACATTTCCATGGCCAGAGGAGAGAGAGACCGCATAATGTGTGTCCACAGTAGAAAACTTTTGCTGTTTTGAATTACAACAAGCACAATCTATTTATAAAGTGATTTTCAGCAGAAGTTTAATTCAGGGTCTAAATTTTACTTTGCTCTATAGATGTCTTTAGAGTAGCTTAATTCTTGGACGATGTTCTTGGAAATGTACTTTTCTATAAATAGTGATCTTTTATTTAAAAGTCTATATTAGTGAGGATTCAGGCTCTTATCCACAGCTTTTGAAAACAACTTCATTAAGACTTAGACTTGTTCAAAAGAGTTACAGAAAAGTCAATTTTTATAATAATCATATAAGATAATACAAAGTCCACTAATCATTCTTGGAATTCTGGTTAAGGTATAGACCATTCTGTTAAGAAATTCAAAATTTTGCCTCATCTCTAATCATATTTTAGGAACATAGCTCTCCCTAGGAAAAAGTAAAATGAAAACAGGTAAATCAATAATTTATTATCTTTGTTTGTTTACTTAACCAATCCAGGGCAATCATTACAGGTAAATAAAAATAGTAGCTATATCAAAACTGGCTCAGGGAACATTGATTACTGAGTGGAATTCAGAATAATTCAGTGTTCACTTGGACATCACTTAACTATCTTCCTTAAAGTAACAAAAGATAATGACATCTATGAGATACTTCTATATCACAAACTGCAGCAACAGCAGTAAAGCAATATTCAAGCTGCAAATCTATCTTCCACCAGCATGAACTGATACATTGTTGCACACTGTCCACAGGAGCTGCATTGAATGCCACCTGTCAGCAATTGGCCAAGCCCGAGAAGAATGTGTGGACAAGTGCAAACTAGCTGGTGCGACCATCAGTGAAGAAGAAGGTTCTGCTTGTCTTAAGTTTGTTTTTTTTTTTTTTTAATTTCCTTATGTCGTTCTTGAGAGGCATAGTTCTTGACCCTTTGTGAATTAAGGGCTATTTAGTAGCTTGACTTTATTTGTACCAGGGCATTAGCTCACTCACATTCATTTTTTAAGAGTAAATGCATACTATAAGGCTAGAAACTTGATGGCTCAGGACACAAGCATTTCAGAGTCGTGGCTGTTCTATTTGACTTCAGCTCTTGTTGCCAAGTTCACCTCTGTTTAGCAAATTCAACTGTAGGGAATTCCAGAATGCTATATTTTTGCATACTAGAAAGTGAGAAAAATTGAAGAAATGGCTAAATGTCAGCCCCCAAACCTGAATTCACCCTTTATCATCCAATTGCTTTTTTGAAGATAAGATAAAGCCAACTGGAAAAAAGTGTTCCAGATGGTGGCTCTCAGATACCAGGTGTTTTCTGGTTAGTGACCATTTTTCCTCCCCTTCATATACTTTTATTCCCAGCCTTCCAAACATGGGCATTACCATGGCCATCCTTAATTCCCTGTTGCCTCACACCGCAAAATACAAAATACCTATTCTCTTTATGCTAAGCAAACTGCTCTTGCTTTCATCTGTCATTTTTAATTTAATTACTTAGAATTAGAGTCTAGAGGCAAAATTTCACCTCAAATATTTAAATAATTTTGTTTTTTAACTGTCAATGCTGTTTAAACAATAATTTGTGGACTTTAAAACAAAGGCCATGACCAACTGTTCCAACAGAGTCAACCTGGGGGAATTTAATTTTGTATCATCCTGAACTTGCTGCATTATCATGCAGCTCAGTGTAGAATTACTACTCTGCACACATTAGAGATGTTACCAAGATGTAGCTCAGGTGAAGTGAAATAATCAAGCCAATAATGTGTGACCCTCCAGGATATGTCTCTTGAATAGATGGAATGGGAATGCAGAAATTAATCCATGTTCAGTATGGAATGAGTTAATGAACTTTATATTATTTTGAAAATTACTTACATTGTTTCAAAATTGAGAGTTCTGGCTATGCACAATTGGATTATCCTATGTGGAGGATCTTGATTTGTGCTCATAAAACCCCTCACCAATGCTTTTCTTGTGACCAAAGATAAACGTGCCAAATAGCAGTAAATTAGACAAGATGGTGTGCACCTTATACTACTACCAAAGGCAAGATACATCAAAGCACAGAGCAGGCAGCCTCTGTGGAATTCCCACACTTGTACCTGGTGCAAAGTCCCAGCATCACCTCTGGGCTCATTTCATAGCAAGCAATGGGGATATTTACCAAGTGTTTCTGAGAAATGTGTACAAATTGCAGAAAATTCTCTGCGAATTGCTAGGCCTCAGTGCACTAGGAACATGGGAAATCTAATGTGTTGAGGAAAAAAAGAAGTAAACCTTACATACATGTAAGTCATAATGGCATGAACAAGATACTATATTTAAGAACACAATTTTTTGAGTAGATTATCGTAATTGCTGAGATTGGAGAGGAAGACTAGGCTCCAGTAGCATTTAAAATATTTACATTATTTTTTGTGTGTATTTGACTAAATTATTTCAAAATAGGGAAATACAACCATTTCTAACTCAGAGACTGAATATAAAAATTGGATTACTAATATCATTTAAAGTACTAATCTGGATGAATTTGAGAGAAAAAAAATATTTTTAATTTAGGCTGTGTTTAAAAGCCACTTTTCTAATGAGCCATTTTATGAGCTTTATTTCAAGTTACTCACCCAGTTTTATGTTACTGATCATACCACCTTGAAAGGATCACATCATATTTGCTCATCCTAAGAGTCTTTTAACAACCTACCCTTCCCCCAACCGGGGGAATTTTATTTTACTCCTGGGGAGTAAAATAAAAACACAACTTTATAATCTGTATGATTGTTCCTCAATTGTACTATAGGTGGGCATATCAAAAGACAGGCTATTAACCTTATTTATCCCATTTTACTGAGAGTCTTTTTTTTTTTTTTTTTTTTTTGGAGACAAGGCCTCACTGGCTTGGAGTCTCTCTGGCTGGAGTGTAGTGCACGATCAAGGCTCACTGCATTCTCAACCTTCCAGGCTCAGCCTAATGAGTACCTGGGATGACAGACGTGTGCCACCATATGCAGCATAATGTTTTGTAGTTTTTGTAGAAATAGGATTTTGCCGTGTTGGCCAGGCTGGTCTCAAACGCCTGAGCTCAAGTCATCTGCCCACCTCAGCCTCCCAAAGTGCTGGGATTACAGATGTGCACCACAGTGGCCAGCTTGAGAGTCATATTTTTAATTTACCCTAGCATGCAGGTACTCAGAGAATTGTTTCTCAAAGTATATTCCATGCAACCCTAGATGTGAAAGCATTACATGGAAAAAGGCGCCCTGGTCATATAAATCTTAGAAACAGGAAACTGGGTTTCTTGTTTTCTTTTCAGGACTTCTAAGAGTTGTTATGCATTTAAATTAAATGTGCGTTGTGCATCATCAGGAATGGCAAGGGGTGGAACTGGAATAAATGAAGGATTCCCAAATTTATCTGACTATAAACCCCTTATTTTTTCCTTGGGAAATGTTGTTATTTTTTGTGTTTTGTTGTTGTTTTGTTGTGTTTTTTGAAAACTGCTAACTAATCCTAGAGCTGAGGTCTTAAACATATGGCCGTCTTGACTCAGTGGTACAGATGCTTTGTATTTTTCACACTGTCCCTGGACCTTCCCAGGCCCACCTCCTCACCCCTATTTTCACATTTCTTCCTTCTCTGAGTATGGTTCCATGGACTGCCTGGCTTCTTATTTTCATTGTATTATTCTAGAGCAGCACTGTAGACTTTCACAAAGGAAAAGAAAAAAGAGAGGTCCATTTTCTATGAACAACAAAAGAAAACCTTAGCAGCGAATTACGCAAATATGTCATTGCACATTTTATAATACTATTTCAATACCCAAACACTACTGAACAGGCTACATCTAGAGCTGTAACAGTCATGAAAAGGAGTGGTGAGGTAATTAAAGCAAGATAGGAGTTGTGACTCAAAGATCATATTATGCCATTCCATTAACACTTAAATAACCTCGGCCAGGTCAAGTAAGCCTCCCTAGGCTTCAGTGCAGCTATTTGAAAGAAAATTTTTAAAAACATGGTTAATATTACTGAAAGGAGTATGATAAGCCATTCACATATTTCCTACCTCAGAATAAAATGTTCCATTAAGTATGTTCAAAGGGAGCACAGTGAGACGGCAGTGTCACCGCAGAGAGCGGGAAGGAGGCAAGAAAACACTCCGATAAGAAAACGCAGAGTCCCCAAGACTTCATGAATTCTAGTTAATTGGAGTGGCAAGGTAACAGGAGGTGTGGAAAACCCCAAATAAAATAACCAACATATGAATTATATATGCAGTAGCATTTGCAATCAAACATATGAAATAACACACATCTCACTAAATCTCTTAAAGAGAATCACCTTACAAATACTTATTAAACCACTCACTAAGTGTACAAGCTCCTGTGCCTACGACCAACTTCTCAAATCAGAATACCTAAGGCTGGGTCCCCAGAATCTATGTTTTCAAAATTCCCAGGTGACTTAGATGACCATAATCACTCGGCAATGACTAGACTAGGATGATTCGTAATTAGATTTCTTAATATCCCCATGTAATAGATCTTTCTAATGGGTTCAAAAACAGTTTGTGCACTTAAATCCATCATCTGAAATCTTATTTATAGTGCTAAATGTCTTGCTGGTTCCTGTTTTCATAGATAATACAAAGCATTCTTCTCACAGACACTCGGATTTTTCATCTCAAATGAAATATAAAGACCACAAACGGCAACTTAAGAGCTATGGCATTTTTTTTTTGTACCAAAAACAGGCTATTATTTAATTTTTCTTAGAATCAGACAACACATTAGATTCTGCTTTATTAATGTTTTTACTTTTAATCTAATGAGAGAGGCTATAAGTCTGGTAGAAGTATGTTCAAGATTATCAGGGGCTGCCCCAGTTTTAATGTTCTGGTCCATTGCAGCATAACACACTAATTTTGGACCTATGTCCTAAAAGTTTAGATTAAGAGCAAAAGGTCTTCTACTTACAGGTTTCTGAAAAGCAGTGTTTGTAACCATCATTGAAAAGTCTCCAGCTTAAAAGATAAGAGAACGGTTAAACAAGTTTGTTTGTTCTGTTTTCTTAATTAGGAAAATGCCACATAATTTTGACATAGGTCCTGGACTACTAAAATTTCTGGTAGATAGTATTGGCATCTCAGATTGGTCATTTTACTTTCTTTTAATTTCTGCCATAAAATTTATTTTCTGCCTCTTGAATAAGCTCAATAAGAAAAAAATTCCCACTTGGAAAAGATTTGAGGAAAACTGGATTTTTTTTTTTCAAATTAAGAAAGGAGCTCTACTAAATGACAGACAAACTGTCACTGTGGATTCATTTACCTTTATCCTGCTGGTTTCTGAGCTACATAATGCCTCAGTCTCAGTTTCCTGATATTAATTTATATCACTGTTGTCACAATACATGGCCAGCCATCTTAACTATGCCAGTATGAGAAAGACGCCTTTAAAAGTATGAGCATCAGTTTGAACTGTACAGGAATGTAATCTAGACATCCTACGTTCTCTCAGCAAAGAAGAACCTATAGCCTTCTCTTTACCATAATCAAAACCATTCTATTCCCAAGGCAGCTGTGGGTACCTGCCTTGAAGTACGTTCAGCCTGTTGCAATCCTGCCCATATCTGTTTGATAGGTACATTTTTGATGGTCAGTCCTGATTGACCACATCTGGAACTGTTCTTCTGGAACGTGAGTAAAAATTGAAACATCACTTAATGAGAAAAAAGAAGCCTGTACCTTTCCTATTCTCATTCTGCATCATTGAAAACTCTAATTTACATATTAAAACTCAATACCACTTTGTTTTTAAAGTAATCTCTTTTGGAATTTCGTTTAACCGAATGACTCCATTATCTGCAGATTTCTCAAAGGATGGTTCTGTTTCCTGCTCTCTGCAAGGAGAAAATGAATGTCTTATTACATTCCTAATGACTACAGATAATGAGGGGAAAACCATCATTCACAGCATCAATGAAAAAGGTGGGTAGTTTGCATTCCACTGCCGATGGCAAGTGATACTACACAGGAGAAGAGAAAACATCAAGAAAATCGCTCTGGGTAGCATGCCAGGAAAGACATTTCCAAAGTTTTGACGAAGTTCCTTAAACTTTCCCAAGGATTGAAAGATATCAGTTAGAAGGTTCAGTATGTTCTGGTGTCTCTCATTAAGACCAGATAAGGGCCAGGCATGGTGCCTCACACCTATAATTCCAGCACTTCGGGAGGCCAAAGCAGGCCAGTCACTTAAAGTCAGGAGTTGGAGACCAGCCTGGCCAACATGGTGAAACCCCATCTCTACTAAAAATACAAAAATTAGCCGGGTGTGGTGGCGCACACCTGTAATTTCAGCTGCTTGGGAGGCTGAAGCAGGAGAATTGCCTGAGCCCAGGAGGTGGAGGTTGCATTGAGCCAAGATAGTGCTACTGCACAGAGCAAGACTCCATCTTAAAAAAAAAAAAAAAAAAAGACCAGATCAGATGACTTGTAGTTGCACAAGTCATCTTCTTCCTAAAAGTTGGCTGATGAATTATAGAAAGGTAAGTGGATTCAATGCAGCATAAGCAAAAGGTATATCTTTAGAAATGGGTAACAGAGAAGAATGTGTCCATTTTTTAAAAAGAGTGTGAATCAGGCAAACCTTGGTTCAAATCCTTCCCCACCATTTCATGGCTGAGTGACATTCTAGAAGACATTTGCCTCTCTGAGTCTCTATTTCCTCATCTGTAAAATGCTAAAGAGAATAGTACTTTTTTCTAAGTATTGACTCAAGGAGTAATGGCATAATGCACATAAAACAGTGCCAATACCTAACTCACAGTAATAGGTCATTAAATGATAATGCTGACTCAGAAAAGACATAGCAGCAAGTGAGGAAGGATGTCAAGGAATCCATTGCTCCTGGGGATTTTCATCCATACCAATTCATAGAGTCAGTTCGGGACTTGGGAAAACCTTCAATACTTTGTATTCAGTGAAAGGGAGAGAGAAGTTTATATTTTGTAGAGAAGAAAGTAGGTGAGAAGGTATTAATACTTTGATTGGGAAGGATTCAAATCTTAGTGGGTATCAGGCTCCGTTGGGGAACTTGTTAAAAATGCCTATATCCTGAGGCAGCATCATCTGAGGTGTGGTCCAGGGCTCTGCATTTTAACAACTACCCTGGCAAGCCTGATACAAACGGTCCCCAAATCTCCCTGTGAGTGACAGCCCTAACAACACGGACTGTGTTCTCATTTACTCATAGGTGCCTCATATTTTCTGTCTTTAATTAGTGATGTGTTCCTCCCTAAACCGTTCCTGCAGATATGGCTGCATTAAATCAGACCTCATCCGACCTTGTTCACAAACTCCTCCCCGCAAAAGTTTGGAGCCTAACTTCTGCCCCAGACAATAGCGACAAGGCCAGGCCATAAAGCAGATAGATGTGTTTTGTTGTATGTGCTTGCCTATCGATGTGCTGATAAAATATCAAGTCCTGAGCTTGAAACCAAAGGTATCAAATTGGCATCACTTAAGAGCATAAAAACCATGCCAATGTCAAGGGAACCAAAAGGTAGATTAAAGACCATTATATCCCAATCAAGAAAATGTATCAGAAAAAATATCACATTGCAGTTGCTGAGGGCAAGGGAGAAATAGAGGTTGGCACAATCCAAGGAATCTGAAGATGATTGTGAACTTGGCCTTGAAGCTCAGGTATGCAGAGTGCTCCTGGAGACTTGCTCTGGAAAAATCTTACATAAATCATCTCCTTTGAAATGCATACATAAAATGTGTCTTATGGCTGTTCATTAGGGAAACATAAGGTGAATCCTGCCGTACAAGGAAGAATTACTTTATAATACCAAAAAAGCCTGCCTGCTCATTATCTGTCCTATAAAATAAAATTCTCCAACTATTCTCCTGACCCTTTGTGACTGTGGCAGTGGCTTTAGCAAGTTATCTTGAAATCAAAGCCATCTCTTACAGTTTTGATTCTATTGAAAAAACAAGTTCCAAACAACAAAAACAAATTTCCAGAATAAGTCCTGCTTTTAATTCAGAGAATTTTGTATCTAGTTAGTGATTTTTTTTTCAGTGAAACATGCCTTGGGCTAAATGCCTCCTCATTACTGAACTGTTGTTTGTTCTTTTATTCTTCCACACAATACGAGTGGCACCACAAATGCCATTCTGCAGAGCACACACAGATGCCCTGATGCTTTTTATTATGGTGGGTTATTATCTCTATGTTTTTGTAGTAGGAAAAAGTGAGGGAAAAAATGACCTCCCTGAGCCTTAACAAGAGTCACCTGACAGCTTCCAGGCTCCCTCTTCCTCAACCAATGTCTGCATGGTTGAGTGCCTGGGGCTTCCAGGAGCCAGCAGAGCAGAACCTGTCTGTAGAAGCCCATAGTCTCTCCCGTCTCCCATCTTTCAGACCAGGTAGGCTTGTGGAGGCTTGGGTAGAAGCAGCAAACTGAGATGTGAGAAAGGGGCATGGAGATTGATGATCCCCTGGGTCCTCTAAGCAAATTGAAACAAGAACTGAGTGAAGGGTCACCACTAGGGTGCTTGTAGACATAGGCACTTTCTTTCATCTTCTTTCTTTCCTCCACCATCTGGAGGGACTTCCAGAGCATAAGAGCCACAATGGAGTCAAGGAATGATAGTTGGGAAAGCTTCCTGGCTGGAAAGTACCAACTGGGGTGGATGCTTTACCCACAGGTTCCAACTTGGAGGCTTCAGGCCCTTGAGGTGATGAGGATAGAAAAGGGGATAGAGTGCTGTATTTGCTGTAGCTATAGTAATATTAATTATTATTTTAGCAGCTCTCATTTTTGAGCCCTTACTAATACCATTTGCCAGATGTCGTTCCATATATTTTACATGTATTAATTCGCTTAATATTCTTAACAACCATATAAAACAGGTACCACTATTATTTTCATTTTAAAGGTTAGGAAATTGAGGCATGGAGATATTAAATAATTTGCTGGGTCTGGCAGTAATTACGTGCCAGAGCTGATGTGGGGAGTTTGGCAGCCTGGCCAGGAGCCCATGGTCTGAACCACTGTGCTCTACTGCCTCCTACTGGCTGTACAATCATCATACATTTCTGAATCACAAAAATGTTAGATCAGCCTCATCCAACAGAGCTGCTAGGCAAATCAATACATAATTTAAAATGTTCTAGTAATTACATTAAAAAGTAAAAGAAACAGGTAAAATGAATTGTATTTACCATGTTATCCAAAATATTGTCATTTCAACATGTAATCAATATAAAAGCTGACATATTTTACATTTTTTTCATACCAAATGTTCAAAATCAGTGTGGATTTCACACATATAGCATAACCTAATTGGGAAAAGTCACATTTCAAGCACTCAGTAGGCACACTGAGCTACCAAACTTGGTAACACACGTAGCAGAGTTAGATACTCAGGACCTTAGAAGTAGGTGCTGCACCAACCTGCACTTGATAGTCAGCACTGTACACAGTGATAGAGGTGACCCTCTTCTTCCATATAAAGCTCCATTTTCAGTCTGAACATCTCAAGAAGCATCAGAGTATGAAAAGTGAAGATTTCTATAGTGTAAGACCTTCTCTGGCACTTGGGCCAAAATCTTTTCTTGAGAAATGGTTAATTCCCGAAGACTTTCAGTTCTGAAAATAATTATCTCTGCCAGACCACACCCATTCCTTCTTTAGTCCCTCCTGGAGGAGCCTCCTAATTCATGTCCAGGTGCAGGATTGTAGCAAGCTTCATCTTGCTTTGAGCAGGAACATACTCTGCCCCACCCCAGACATTTCTTAGCCAAAAATGTAGCCAGCATATATTCTCATGACACAAGCCTGCTACTTTATTTGCAGGAATGTTGCTAACCTATTAGAGGCAGCTATGGTTCATTTGCTATGCAAGAATATAGTCTTTAGATCTTCATACAGTAATAGCTATGTCATTAGCTCCTTTACTTATTTCTGCATAATTTCTTTACATGGTTTCTTGGCCAAAGAACAAAAGTGTGTGAGGTGAGGCATCACACTGTTAGTGGGTAATTAGTCCCACTCAGATTCACATCGACTCTAGATCCTTACCTTAAAGATACTATGGCTAGTCATATGTGTATAACTCTCCTTATTAAATATCTAAAAGCAGTAAGACTTAGGATAAACTAAGCATGATTTATTTCCTCCCTGAATACCATGGATTTTGCCTCATTTCTTGCAGAGGGATGCAGATATGTAACGTTAAATTTATGTGGGATTTTTTTCCATGAAAGAGGGGAGGATAATTATGATGTTTCATTAAGAAATGTATCATCCCCTAGGCATACTGCAAGGATTATTAGTCATTCTTCTGTGAATGAGGAAAAGTACTGTGTGATTGCAAAATTATATTAATTTCATCAATAGAGTCAAAATAACATTTCATAGACTATTCAGGTTGAAAGGACCCTACAGAACATCTAATTTCCCAAACTTCCTTGAAGATAAGAATCATTTGGAATATTTAATAATAAAAGATTGGTGGCCTTATCCAATACCCACTGAATCAAAATATTGGGGAAAGGGTATAGGAAGCTGTGTTAGTAACAAACATGAACACTTCAGCTTATTGTTATCATCAGAAAAGTTAAGGGAACACTGAACTTTGTTTTACAGATGAAGGGCCTGAGATTCAGAGAGATTAATGGGCTGGATCACATTCACATAGCCACGTACATCAGATGGGAAGTGAATCCACCTCTCCTGACTCTAGTCTAGGAACTTCCCCCAAACCAGACTACTGCTCTACGGTTCACCAAAACAGAACTGAAAGCTATCATTGTCTACTGTCTGTAAAGAAAGAAGGAAATAGTAATCTTTTCAAGGGATAGGTTTTATGTAACTTTTAATACAGTCTCCTAGACTGCCCATGATTCAAGAAGGTCCAAGAAAAAGTGATTACTTGCAACACACACACACACACACACACACACACACACACACCATTTCTGCTTTATCATGGACTCAGAAGAGGCCATTTTTTGTGATTAAACTAGTTTTTTTTCTTAATCCTCTAAATATTCCATGTGCATTAATTATCACTCTTTTGGATTCTCTTTTAAAGTCAGCCATCAAGTCTAGATCCATTACTTTGAGTAACTAAGTTCTTCCTTTATCTTTTGTTCTACTTTGAAGGAATGCAGGACTATCCTTCAACAAGTAACTCATTTTTTTATTTCAACAAGTAACTCATTTTTTTATTTCAACAAGTAACTCATTTTTTAAATTGCAGCAAGGCAAAAATGGTGTCAATATTTATCCTCTGCTGCTGAAAATGTAGATGGAAAATCCAATAAGAAATGACTTTCCAATGTCAAACTGTTGATTTTTCCACCTTATAATTTTCTTTATTTCTGCAGATTGTCCAAAGCCTCCAAACATTCCCATGATCATGTTGGGGGTTTCCCTGGCAATTCTTCTCATTGGGGTTGTCCTACTGTGTATCTGGAAGCTGCTGGTGTCATTTCATGATCGTAAAGAAGTTGCTAAATTTGAAGCAGAACGATCAAAAGCCAAGTGGCAAACGGTATGTGGAAACTTAGAGCTACTCCTTGTCTAGGGGAGAAAGAGGCTGGTGGAAGAAATTGAGAGGCTCAGCTTTCTTCTGCTCTGAGAGTTCAAATGTCACATTTTTTCTCTACCACTCTCACCATGACCCCAACAGCTTTGATTTCTGTTCTGCTTCAGGGTCAAAGGAACCTCTACTCATTCTTTAGACCCAGATGACCCTCATAGCATATATCTGTCTCAGTGCAGTGGGAATTTCCACCACAATGAAGAGTCTCTTGAGGCCCCTGAGACAGCTGCTCAGGGACATCAGGAAAGTATATTTTACTCAGTCCTTCCTCACCACTAAGAGTATCCCTCAGGTCCCATTTGATAAAGCACAGGTGCTGTATCTAAACATTTCCATAAGTTGGTTTTGTTATAATGAATGGAATAATGTTCATAAGTAGTATGATAGTTTATGCCAATTTCTATGGAAGTACTTGTTACTGATACAGTAGGCTACAAAGCAAAATTGAGATGATTTTTTAAATGCCATGCAGTTAGTTTTTCTGAATAACATAAATTTTAAACAGCGACCTGAAAAAAACCAAGTTTCAACCTTTAAGTGTGTAAACTCAATAGAAATAATTTAAGTGTCTTCTCTTCACAGGAGGCAAACAGAAAACAGGACTATAGTTTTCTGTGTTTCTTTTCCACAGGAGAGATAATTACATTTCTAGAGACCCATAGAAACAATTTCATGGTTTTAATTTCATCTCTCTATCTCTAATGATGTGTCCAGGTATCTAACATCAATTATCTTACATTGCTGATTGCAACAATGATATCACTGGAGGAAATACAGGCAGACACAATGCTTCTTTGGATTCATCCACTCAAATAAATTGATGTTAACAAATTTTATAGCAATGCCTTCAATTCGAAAAGCAAATGGAATTTTCCATTTTTGATACATTTATCTTGATAATGGATGTTTATATTTTATGCAGTTATTCTAAATTAATCATAATATATGGTACAGTACAATGAACAATGAAAAATTTTATCTACTTTATCTTTCCATTAAAAATGCCTTTAGACACAACAGCCAAATGCAATGTATGGATCTTGTTTGGATCATGATTTTAACAGTCCACCTTTAAAACACCTGGAAAAAAGGATGGGCATGGTGGCTCACACCTGTAATCTTAGAACTTTGGGAAGCCAAGACAGGAGGATTAGATCGCTTGAGCCCAGGAGTTTGAGTTAGGCAGCATGGCGAAACCCTGTCTCTACAAAAAAGAAATATAAAAACTAGCCGGGCATGGTGGTGCACACCTGTAGTCCCAGCTACTTGGGAGGCTAAGGCAGGAGGATCACTTGAACCAGGAGGTCAAGGCTGCAGTGAGCCATGATCGTGCCACTGCATTCCAGGCTGGGTGACAGAGTGAGACCCAGTCTCCAAAATAAATAATAAATAAATGTATAAAACTACTGAAAAAAGATTAATACACACTGGGCATTAGAGTGATAGCACGTAAGTATGGTTAATTTGATTAGGTAAGATAATGGCAATGGTGACATTGCTAGAAAATATCCATGTTTTTTAGAGATGCATACAGAAGGAGTGGAAGGAAATGAAAGCTTGAGTTTGCTTTGAAATAATTCAGCCGAGAGAGAGGGATAGAGATATAGTTGAAGCAGGTGTGGCGGAATTGTGATAACTGTTGAATTTGAGTGATGGGTCTTTGAAGGTTTGTTGTATAGCCTTTCCTCTTTTTGTGAATGTATGGATTTTCCATAATTAAGCAAGATTCCTCAGGAGAAGATATAATTTACTCATCCCTAACAATGTAAAAGGTAAATAGACAAGTTAGCTTGGCAACTTAGAACACAGTACTAATGAGCCCAAAGTTGTAGGACAGTTCACTTCACCTGACCCCTGGCCACAGATGTTATTTTTGACTTTCATCAGCTCTCCAACAAATGCCTGGCAATGGTGAGAAGGGCAACCAGGTAAAACAATGTGGTTAAGTTGCCACAAAGGTCAATAGCAGCAAACCCCATGACGTAATCCTGGTATTCCCATTTTGAAAGAAGGTAAACTGAGGCTCAGAGAAGTTAAGGGACTTCCCCAACTTTTGGTACGTGGTGAAGCTGGAGCCTAATTATTAATTGTTCTTCTAAGCACAGCCTTTGGTTGATCCTCCTGGAAATAATAAGCAGGTGCTCCACAAACACGCACTTGGGCAATTATGTGATGTGTATCTACTAACCAGCACATTTTAGTGTTCTCATACAGAGGCATAAGTACTGACAAGTGATTAATATCTTTAAAATAACATTATAATTAACAGTTAATTTCTCCAAAAACATGAATTGTTCTCCCTCAGGATGTAGAACATGACTGAAATTCAAATGCCAAATTTTTGTTGTTTCTTCTTCTAACATGTGACCCAAACATGCATGAAACAGAAAACCAGCATAAATGGAAAATATTATTCCCTTATTAAATTGAGTTTCTTTGAATAGCAAATGTTTGATGTTCCTGACTAGATAATGACTGGTTAGTAATTATTCACATGGATACAAAAAAGGTTTAAACTCAAATAATTCAGTTTAAATTTTACCAATACCTACTGGAAAAAAAATGTCGCTCACTGCACACATTTTGGGGTCTTCAATTTCATTGAGTTTTTCTCTAAAACCTATTTCTTTTTCAAGAAGTGGATTTTGAAACCCAGGGCCTTCCGGGACAATAGGAACAATCTGGTCTCCTGGCCATAGGACTGCATTGGACTCGTAAAGTGACAGGGTTCAAGACAGAAAGATCTTTACTCTTACCTCCTGAAACATTTCAGAGCAGCTGTAAAGAAAGGTTACCTTTTTATTATGCTTTAAAAATAATGCCACCTCCACATATTCTTTATAAAAACACAAATGAAACGTATTTAAATTCATCTTTGATTAGACATATTTTTCTAGGATGACAAGTCATTAACTTGAGGCAAAAAAATGTTCAGCCTGACATGTCTTGAAGTCATGGATTGATTTTGTACTGTGCTAAGCAAATCAGGTCTGCATTTGGCAGTTAGGCGATCATTAAGGAAGCTGTGGGTCATGACAGAGTTTTCTTATTACCACTTTTTCAGTCTTGAAAAATGTGCCATTGCATTTGCAGAATCCACAGCCTAAATTAGCACTCCCAGACTCCTGGGGGAATCAGCCTGGTCACCCCAGATGGTTAGGGGAAAACTGACCTTTTCTGAGCAGTGGAGTGCAGACTCACCTAAAATAGAGCAGGACTCAAGCCTGCATTTCTGCTGGAAATCCTGTGTAGAGAGGTTCCAATCGGCAGAGCACTAGAGAAGGCAGTATGGACATTTCCACGCCTCCTCCTGAAACAAAGCTTGATGCATTCTCCTGACCTCTGATCTTCAGCGAAGGCAAGGAAATGCCCTACCACACACAACGGCAATATGTACTTTCTGTTTGTCCACTTTTACGCTTCCGCCTTACCCTCTTATTCTGGTGAAGTCTGCTCTACCCATCCCTCCCTATAAACAATGTCTTGGCCCTAAACCAGTTTTGCAAGGGACTCACAAAATATTGCAGACCTGAATGAATGAAGTTGCTTTAAAATACAGAATGAAAACTCCACCATCAGAATTAGACATTCAGCTAAGTATCTACTAAATAACTTTGTTATCCTGTCAACGTCACCTCCTCTATAATGCATATCAGTTATATTAAGTGTGGGATATGGGTGTATTTTCTATGTTTGACATGATGTAGGGTGCACCTACAAACAAGTACCTGGTCCTACAGAGCTGTAAACTGACCCTGTTCACAGCCTGTGTCCTCTTTCAGAGTATCGTTTCTGTTCACAAACGCTCCCACTTCCTCCAGGACAGGCTCACGCTGTCATTGGTGGCTTGAACCTCTTACTTTTTTCCATCTTGTTTCTTCAATTGAGTCCCTCATTCTCCTGTAACCAACTAGATTCTAGTCTTTCAAATTTAGTAGAATTCCACGCATGATTTTTGTTTGCAAATGAGACTCCATCTACATCTAAAATCACATCAGTCTACCCTTTGCATTCAAAATCTCAAATTCTTAGGGCAGCAGAACTAGATAAGATCTGGAGGTCCCTCAGAATTATCTAGGCTGCTCTCAGGAATAGAAGCAATATGCCAACCTAGCTTTCACCCACATCCACCACCAGCCAAGGAAGCTCTTTTCTGTTTGGCTTTATTATAGAGATGGCATATCTCTTCAAAAGCACAAACAAAGGTAACATGTCACTCAGTCAGAAGTCAGGCCACTGACTCTGGAAAACATAGAAATTGGTGCAGGTGTGATTCCCACTCACAATGAGGGCGCTGACGCCAATGAGTGGGAAAGGCCAGGGAGTATTTCCAGTTTTATTCAATTCTTCTGAAAGCTAAAAGAAATGTACCAAGAAATCAAAGACAATCATGTAATCATGCTTTTTTTTTTTTTAAATCTACACCTAGAAATTGCTACCATAGCTATAATCCATGGAATAAGGTGGTCAAAGTATGAGATTTTAACTTAGAGGGTGAGAGGTGGTACCTGGATTCAATACATACTCAGTAAGGGGCTTAGAAATGTTAACTGTACCAAAGCCCTAGGGGAAAATATCTTTATAATCCTCTCTAAAACTTAAAATAAAAGGAAATTCCAGATGTGAAGAAAAGCTACAAGTAGGAACTAATGAATAGAGGCAGCATTTATGGAGCATTTGCTATGTGCTACACATAGTGCTAAAATACTTTACCTGGATAAGGTAGGCACAGATGTGGACACCAAGGCTCAGAGTAGCTTCAGTATGGTCATGTGGTGCAGCTGGGTTTGGACCCAGGCTGTCTGATGCCATAGTCTGTGTGGTCAACCTTAGAAAGTGGGAGAGAAGAAACTGTACCTTACCCAGACAGCTTCCTCCTGCCTGGAACAACCAGAGAGGCCCGGTCCTTCTGAACCTTCAGATCCTCTTGGCTACAGCACCACTGCTGTTGGCACGTGGGGACACATCTACAGCCCAAAAAGCACAGCTGAGCTACCCAGGAGTCCCAAACACAACCTCCCCACTCCCCCAAGGGCAAAGCCATTTTGCCTGGCCTGGCTTTGGACTGCTACTCTTTCATGACCCCAGGGTTCCCCACATCAGTCTCTTGTGGTGTTCTTACACACTGTTTTGCATAGCAAGCAAAAGACAGCTGGTTCTTTGGCTACTCAGGGCGAGTATTAGCTGTCCAGAGGATGGTTCCTCACTCCTCCTAAGTAACTACTTTCTCCCCTTTCTGAATTTTAATCTCATCTTAGCATGATTATTTGTGTCGTTTGTTTGATGCCTCTCATCAGTAACACGTTTGTTAAAGGCAGATACTGTGTCATTCATTTTTGTATGTTTCTAACAGTTTCACTTTTCCCGTATTTTACTTTTTTGGCTTTGATTTCACTTGTGGTTCACCTATCACTGTTCATGCTACTCATTCCATACATACTGAGTACCTGCTCTGGGGCAGGGACTCAGTGCTGGGAAAACAGCAGTGAGCACAACAACCAAAGCCTTGTTTTCTATCCATAAATTCGTGCATTATTAAAAGGGGTAAGATTTTTTAGAATATACATATGGGACTTGTTCTGTATATTTAACAAAATGAAAATATATAAATTGTAAAACACTAAAAGTATGAAATACCAAACGAATCAAAATTGTTCCAATGGTTTCCAAGATTAGCTTGACTCTCCTTTTCCAATTTGCATTATATCTTAAAACAGTATAATAAGAAAATATACATACTTTCACTTGAATCTTTTTCTTTTTTTTAGGGAACGAATCCACTCTACAGAGGCTCCACCAGTACTTTTAAAAATGTAACCTATAAACACAGGGAAAAACAAAAGGTGGACCTTTCCACAGATGGATAGAACCACTTTATGCATGAAAAAAGTCTGTTCACTGATATGAAATGTTAATGCACTATTTAATTTTTCTTTCTTTGTTGCTTCAAAATGAGGTTGGTTTAAGATAATAATAGGACATTTGGAGATAAGTCATTCTCTACATGAAGGTGAGAGACTGTTGGCAGGTTCAAAATAATCAAGAAGAGAAATATCCTTAGCAAAGAGGTGACTTTGGGGATCATTTGAGGAATACTAACTCTGTTGCATTAATCCCTCAAAAAAATCATCAAAATGATTCATGGGGGCTTGATTTGCATTTGAAAAATGTTTGAAATTAGAATCTCATTTGTTTCAGGAATGCAGCTACCTGAGTTCTTTGTCTCAGCAAAGTCACAAAGCCCATATACTCAGATTATGTATCTATACTTGCCAATTAATTCTAAACCCGTAGGAAGTATACCCTCTCTTAATCTATGAGAAATGAGATTCTGGTTTTACTTTAGCTAAGAGGATGCAATTCTTCTAAAGATATCCCAAATATAAGATTGAACATTAGGTGATAATAATTTTTGTGCATTTATACACACTTAAATGTTAAGTACGAATTTTGTTTTACAAATGAGGAAGAAATAATTTATAAATTAAGAAGTCACTTATAAAAATAAAAAGATAACAACTCTATCAGTTTATTTTTAAATTACCTGAAAAATGATCTTCTACACTCAGTTTTCTTTTTGACCCTGAGTTTTCAAACTGTTACTTCTCTTATATTTCTCAGTCCATTTCACTCAGGTGCACGGTCTTTTAAACCCTGTAATTGTCAAACAAAAGTTTCTTTTAAAAAAAAATTACCCTAAATGGTTATTTTATTCAAAGAGAGCTCCAATAATATAAACGGAACATGTGTTAAACAGAATAAAATTTTTAATGGCTCAAGTCAAGCATATCAAGAGTATACAAGTCTTAAAGGCTTTTTAATACATATTCTTTTCCCATCTACATAACCCAACTTGCACATTTTAGCTGCATGTGGTGAATATGCATCATATATTTACTTTAAGAGATAAGACTTCACTTGCAAAATACATGTGCAAATTAGGGATCCATCAGTTGATGGAAGAGATGGACTCTAGAATATTATTTCTTATGGTTATTACTTCTTTACAAAGCACTTTAATCTCACTTGATCCTCATAAGGAAACTAAGGCTCGGAGTGAGTAGAACTGGGTTCAGAATCTAGATCTTCTAACTCCAAGTCATTTCCTCTTTCCACTGCAGGAAACTGCCTCTTTCGTCAGTGAAATAATAGAAAGATTGTGTTAAGCAGTAACAGTCATTTCTTTGAAAATGTACTGAGACTAAACAAATAACATTTAAACTACTGGCATACAGATGAGGTATTGTACTTTGTGCAATGTTTATTATCTTTGATTAATTGTAATGTGAAGCCTTTTACTAGGTGAATAGCTCATGATGTAGTAGAGGCTTTGTGGTTGTCCACTGAATTGTCACAGCAAAATCTGTAAGTTTCTTCAGTTCTACAAGATAGATCTGTATACATTTGATCATTTGGAGACTCTTTTTCTGCTGGTTTCTGAATAACTCAAGTAAATCAGACCTTTATGGAGTACCCAGCTAGATGAAAGAATTATTGAACAATCACCTTGAAAATCTGAAGGGCTGATATACCTCCTATGTTTCCTGACTGGAGCACAGAACCCGGGAGAAATCTGCTGCAACATATAGGTTGCAATGCTGATGACACAACAACAGTCGTCTCCTCTATGTGGACTTACTGTTGTATTTTTGTATTATTATTGGAATGGGATTTTAGAAAATAGAAGTTACCTTTGTGTGTGTTTTAGGGTAGAGTAGAATCTGCTCTTTCTCTGAGTACTGTTTTGACCCCAGGCAGGATCTTGGAAAGGCCAAAACATTAACAGTAGTACTTCTGTTCACTGAAGAGTTATGTTACATGAAGATAAAATGGTTTTGATGTGTTTATTATTGTATTTTGTGTTGATGTAAATAAACATGGTAATTTAAACAATGAACCTTAGATGGATGACATTTTCTTTTATTTGCTTGGTACAAAACCCTCTTCTTGAATTTCTGGATTCCTCTGTGACCTGCTCTGACTGCCTTGCTGGTCTTGGTCTGGGGCCAAGGAGAAGAGCAGAAGGAGGCAGACACAGAAGGCAAGAGACAGCAGGGAGCAGGCCTGGACATCACCACCATATTTTGTAAAGTCAAGTACTTTAGAGTTAGTGTTATGAACTGATATATATTACCTTCCACCCCCAATAGCCCCTGTCCGACCAAAATTCATGTATTGAAGTCTTAACCCCCAGTATCTGAGACTAAAACTGTGTGCTTAGAAATAGCACCTTTAAAGAGATAATTAAAGGCTGGGCACAGTGGCTCACACCTGTAATCCCAGCACTTTGGGAGGCCAAGGTGGGCAGATCATGAGGTCAGGAGTTGAAGCCCAGCCTGGCCAACGTAGTGAAACCCCATCTCTACTAAAAATACAAAAATTAGCCATGTGTGGTGGTGGTCACCTGTAGTCCTAGCTACTCAGGAGGCTGAGGTAGGAGAATTGCTTGAACCTGGGAGATGGAGGTTGCAGTGAGCCGCCTGCCTTGGCCTCCCAAAGTGCTGGGATTACAGGCATGAGCCACAGGGTCTGGCCAATCTCCTCTTCTTATAAGGACACTCCAGCCTGGGTGACAGAGCGAGACTCTGTCTAAAAAAAAAAAAAGAGAGAGAGATAATTAAATTAAAACAAGGTGACGGAGTTGGGCCCTGGTCCAGTATGACTGGTATCCTTATCAGAAGAGGAGATTAGGACACAGACATAAGGAAAACCATGCGAAGATACAGGAACAGGGTGGCCAACTACAAGCCAAGGAGAGAGGTCTCATAAGAAACCAACCCAGTTCCCACCTTGACCCTGGACTTCTGGCCCCCGGAACTGAGGAAAAAATAAATTCCTGTCATTAAGGCCCCCCAGTCTGTGGTGCTTTGCTACAGCAGCCTGAGCACACTTACATGGTCAGGGAGTCTATTCTGCCCATCCATTTGCTAGGTGTCACGGTGCCATGCTTACCTTCTAAATCAGGAAAATTAACACAGAGAGACTAAATGCTGCCAGAAGGAGTCAGGTTAATCATTCTCTTAGGCCCATTTCTTACAAAAGGACAGGCAAAGTCAAATCCAGAGTTACTTATATCTGAAACACACTCTCTCATAAACTAAAGGCCAAACGTCTGACAATCGAGAAACTGCTCCTATTTTGAACAGCACCAAGAAAGTCACTTTTCTTCTTAATTTTTGCATCTGGGAGGTGGACTGCTTGTGTCTTCTAGCAGCTGTAACAATTCCTAACACATTAGCAACTCAATAAGTTTATTCAACAAATATTTATTGAATGCCTGGTATATGCCACTGTTCTTATGATTATGGATATGGTGAACAATGAACAAAACAAGTAATCTCTATGCTTCCAAGCGAGAAAGAAAATAATAAACAAGTAAATATACATTATCAGGGTCCTGGACCCAGTTTGTGCAGATCCCAGATCCACTTGGCTCCACCTGCCTCCCAGGCCTATGCCAGGAGTTACCCCAGTACCAACCTGTGCAGTCCCCTTGGTAGTAAAACCCCAGCTTCTTCCTAACTCCTCCGAGGTTGAGAAGCTGCTGCAATTCCTGTACCCAAGTCCAGAGTAGCTTCCCTAGTTGCTGCCCCAAGGGACCATGTAGCATGACACGGAGGTTGAGGGAGTTAACACTCTGAAGAATGAACGTAGATCCAGAAGAGACAGAGATGGGAAGGAACCAGCACATGAACAGGAGCTGAGCCACCATTAATGTCTTCTGGGAAGCAGTGGCCAGCTTCCAAATGCTTCATCTTGCATCTGCATTCCCTCATTAGCTGCCTCCCTACCCTTTTTCACTGGGATAGAACCTCCCAATAAAACATTAGCACATAACCTTGCTTAGTTCTTATTATATAAGGAGCCTGGACTAAGACTCTCTAGCAGTCCTAAGAGCTATGCCGAAAATAAAGCAAAACAAAAAGCTACACAATACCCTGTGAGGGTGTGCCTTTAGAAAGAACTGTAATTTCCTTAATTTTTTTTTTTTTTTTTTTGAGACGGAGTCTCACTATCACCCAGACTGGAGTGCAGTAGCATGATCTCGACTCACTGCAATTTCTGCCTCCAGGGTTCAACCAATTCTCCTGCCTCAGCCTTCCAAGTAGTTGAGACTACAGGCATGTGCCACTATGCCCAGCTAAATTTGTATTTTTAGTAGAGAGGAGGTTTCCCCATGATGGCTAGGCTGGTCTCAAACTCCTGATCTCAGGTGATCCTCCCGCTTCTGCCTCCCTAAAGTGCTGGGATTACAGGCGTGAGCCACCACATCCTGCCAAGAGTTGTAATTTCTGAGCAGAGCCCTGCATAAGGAGGAAAATTAGCATGAATTCCTTTTGGATATGGACCGCAGGGGCCTAAATATTGCCCCTCTGTGCTTTGGAAACATCCAAAAGTGAATCACTCTAACTGGGCAAAGGGTGGAAAACTTGATCTTCTTTCTCATTTGGTTGCACAATCAGCAAGGGAGTAGCATGGCACCCCAGAAGTTTTGTATCCCATGAGCTCTCCTGGAGCGAGGCCCTCGGAGAGGCCTAGCAGTCAAGGCCAAGCAGTCAGTCAGAGGCACAGATTTGACTGCCACTAACCTACCCCCACTCTTTGGTGTCACTGACATGGCAAGACTTTACCAATCCCACAGAGGATCTAGTTCAGTTTGAAATTTTAATCTGACCTTTGCAATTTCCAGGTATGTATTTTATGAAGGAACTTACTGCTCAAATAGTATTTATTTTTTCTACCTAAAATGTATTTACATTTATGGTCTTGCATACCAATCAGTCCTGTTCCAGGTCAATATCCAAAGCTCTCATATCAAGGAATTCTGTTGTTTGTCAATAACTGACTCAATGAAAAGTCACTATGTTTATTTTTTTCAATGAATTGACTCTGCTATACGTAATATAAATGTGTATATATGTGTGTGCATGAACACATACATATATATTTCTTTCTTCTTCTAATAATTGTATCTTACTAGCATTAAAGAGCTTGCATTGTTAATAAAAACTGGGGAAAAAGAAAAACATTAGATGAATTAAGTTTATCAGAGTTTAATTGAGCAATTCACAAATCAGGCAGTTCCTCAACCAGAGTAGGTTCAGAGTGACCTTGGCAGTGCTGCGTAGTTGGAGAGGATTTATGGACAAGAATAAGAAAGTGAGGTACAGAAAACAGAAGCGACATGCAGAAATGGCCAGATTGGTTACAGCTCTGCATTTGCCCTATTTGAACACAATTTGAACAGTTGGCCGCCTACGAGCGGTTGAAGTATGGCTTCCGTGGTGGACTGAGACTGGGCTACTCATTACAAGAGTAGGTTATAGTCTGTTTCCACACTCATTTAGGTTACATCATTATATATCGAGAAACCTTTAGGCCAAATTCACAAAGAGGCAGATTTAAGCTAAACCTAATTTAACTTAATGTAACACCTACTGTTCTAAGTACATTATACATGTTAACTCATTCAGAGCTCACAAGGACCCTATGGGGGGGCGGTATTACTTTTATCTCCTATTTTACAAGTGAGGACACTGAGGCACAGAGATGTTAAGTAAATTAAGAGATGAGTGGCAGGGAAGCTAAAGAAGCTTCATCTGTATTTACAGCCACTCCCCATTGCTCACATTACTGCCTGAGCTCCACCTCCTGTCAGATCAATGGCAGTATCAGATTCTCATAGGAGTACAAACCCTATTGTGAACTGCATATGCAAGGGATCCGGGTTGCATGCTCCTCACGAGAATCTAATGCCTGATGGTCTGTCGCTGTCTCTCATCACTGCCAGATGGGACCGACTAGTTGAAGGAAAACAAGCTCAGGTATCCCACTGATTCAACAGTATGGTGAGCTATATAATTATTTCATTATGTATTACAATGTAATAATAATAAAAATAAAGTACATAATAAATATAATGCACTTGAATCATCCTGAAACCATCCCCTTGGCCAGTCTGTGGAAAAACTGTCTTTTATGAAACTGGTCTTTGGTGCCAAAAATGTTGAGGACTTCAGAGTTAGATAACTCAGAACAAGGGTTATATTGTAAGAGGAGAATGCTGGTTCTGGGTAAATATGGTGGCAGTTCCTTAAACTAGATTTGAAAAGAACAATATATAAACTAAAATCCAACCTACTGAACTCTTGGGGCCTGAGCAATTCTAACGTGGGGCCCTTTTGAGACAGGTAGAGCACAGAAGAGGAGACCTGCTTCCTAATGGCTAAAAAAATAGATGGGTCTGTCAGTTCAGAAGGCAGAGCATCATACTGTGGACTGGAGGTGAGTGGCTTCAGTAGAGCAGGGACCTGTCAATGCTGCAGATTGAGCAGAAGCCTAGAGACAGGAAGGCAAAGGGAACACAGTGGACCACTGGAACCTTGGGAGGGGCCTAGAGGCAGACACTCAGCACATGCAGTGGAAGGCGGACAGCGTTCTGGACCTGGGCATAAAGCTGTGGAGGCCACTAAGGAAGTAGCTGCCTAAAGGAACATCCCCAAAGGAACATCCCCAGATACTAGAGGTGAATGTGAGCACTGGAAGAGGCACCTCAAATCTTTTAGGGACTGTAGTAAGGAACATAAAATTCAGATGTCAATGTTAAAAAGACTGTTCATTCCCACTGGGCACTGACACTTGGAAAAGGTTTGGGACTCAAAGGACAGACATATTTGATATGAAGGCAGACAAAGGAAAACCAATTTAAAGTAACATTTCTCAAATTAACATCTGTAGACCCTTAGAGGTCATTGCTCTGTTCTAAGAGTAATTTTATAATCATGTATCTTATTCAGTCCTTTCCCTAGCCAGTCCTCCCAAAGGAACAATCTGCCAAACAAATCACAGGTTTTTCTAGGAAGTAGGATGGTGATGGGAAAATAAGAAGGAAGGAGT